GACATTGCATTGTAGTGGGAAAGCTCTTGTTGAAAAAGAGCTAATCTCAAAGAAAGTAGTATTGAACTGAATGTGTCCTTATTATGGGTAACATTTTAATCAGTATGAGCTAAATCATTAGAACTAAGCCCAGAAAAAGCAAGAGAAGATTTTGATACATGTTCCAAACTCCTTCATCTATTATTATAAGTATAATGAGGAGGGCATTATGAGAGACACAATAGATATGTGTTTTGTTATTATTATGTTTTGCTTATGTTATTCCATGGTAAATATTTTTCAGTGACATTGTTGCAGTTTGCTTTGGGAACTTTTAGACATGCTTGACCTATAATATGCACACTATAAAATTAATTTAATGTTTTACTACATTTGCCTTTGAACATGGGTCCTCTTCATTTTTTATGGTTAAGTGAAATGTGGAATGCTAAATTCCAGAGTTGGCAGCTGTATGCTGTGGTAGTTATTCATTTCTACACCACAGATTTTATTTCAAAGGCATCATTCCTGAGCTGGATTGTATCAATTTTTCTGGGTGGTGTTCTACAAACTATCCCCCAGACTTGAGCAGACAGTCTTATTCTAGATGATTTCTTGAGAGTACCAGAAACTGAAACTTAATATATGGAAAACTAATTTTGTGAATTTTACAAACAGTGTATAGATATGTATGAAATTTTCCATTGTTCTTCTGAATTATGGACTTTCTACATTTCTCCCACAAAAAAAATCCTCAAACTTTTAAAACTTTTCTTTATGCTAATCCTATAAAATTTTTCCTAATTTTTATTTTTCATTGAAAGTAAAAAGAAGGTTTTATTGACAGTAGAAAAAAAATCTAAACTTATTCTACAGTATAAGAATATTCAAAATCTTTTGTAGCACTATAGTTTGTAGTAGAGATAGAATTTGTATTAACTGTGAGTAAAGTCTGCCCTCAAAATCTAAAAGAAACATTTTTGTAAGAGATCTAGTCAATAAAGATCACAATGAATCATGTATCTTTGATTCTTATACAGTTAATAGGTGAAGTGGGGTTCCTGTTAGAGAGTTTTCCTAGAGTGGAAATTACAATTAAGTTCAATAAGAGAAACAAAACCAGTTAAAAAAGAGCACCTTAACCCATAATTATTTTCTGTAGTACAAGGAGAATTACATGGGTTTTTAATTACTGGCTATAGAACTTACAGATTTTCATTCCAATGGATACATTCTTTTGCTGGTGATTTTACCAAGCTGTAATTAACTTATCTATTTCACACATGGAGGAAAACTTGAATAGGTGGGTAGAAGTCTTTAACATGCTGAGTCAAAGATTACACCATGAAATATAATAATTATAAAAACTATCTCTCGTAATACAACAAAATCATGGAATGCAAGACACCAAGCGCTGAAAATAATTTTGAGTGAGATCGTTACACAAAACTTCAATCATTTCAGTCTGAATACTCCTCCCCACCTCCATCCACAATGTTGCTTTGGAGACAATTAACTGTGTCAAATGATTGCAATTATCTGCAAATAAATTGACCTCTGGTGAGTGGTTTTGATTCTCTGAAGCTTACTGTGCATGGAAACTAGAGTAAAGGGGAGACAGATGAGCACCCAGGTATCTTTTATAATGAAATCAGGGCACAGCTGAGGCATCCATGGGCTTTTTTCTTGGAGAACCTAGTTTGGGCAGAAAGTTAGATGTTGATCAAAGGTTGAAATTATTGTGCTCCTAGGAGTTATCTATTTCTTTATTTTGGCTTTGATGAGTAAAGGATGACTATCTTAGATTTAGACATAAAACTTTTAGGTGTCTGAGTTAAAATGAGATCACCCTTATGGATTTGTCTCTAATTAAAAAAGTGGTCAGACTATAGCACAACTAAATTTCCTTCTCAAGATGGGGAGAAGCATAAAGGAAGAAAGGCCCTACCTTCCAGTTCTGCCTTCTAAAATGGCACAGAATGGAGTGCAGTTTCAGTTTTGACCTTGAAAAATGAGTGTATTCTAAAGAGTTTTTTACTCCCAATAGGTTTTAAAGCAAGCCTGATAATGCAACATTGGGCAGAGGGAAGTTAGTGCTAGTCTCTCACATGTTGCAAAGACAAATAGCTGCTGTCCTGCAGTAAATATTTTGGTTTTTTTGAGAGATGTTTATATGTTTCTTATGTTACTGTTGGTTTAGCTGGTAAATATTTCAATTGCTGTTATCTTTTTTTTTCTTCTTGTTTTAATTCCTGGAGAAATGGTTCTTATGTATTCTAAACCCTTCAGCCCTCACTGATGGAATAACTCCTTTTCAGCTGAGGCTATTTATTTAAAAAAGAACTATTTTAAAAAATAAATTTTGCAGAGTATTCTCTGACATTCTACACAGAGAGTTATTTCATAGATGGTCTCATTTATACTGAATTTTTGAAATAGTAGCTACTTTCCTCTAGCAAATAAAACTGAAGTTCTAAGTTGTTCCAACACAGAGAAATGGTATCATCTCTATTTCCTTCTCCTGCCCATAAACTTCCGTTTCTAGTAACAAATTTTTCAAAATGAAGAAAAGTGATTACCATTTTAGAACCTGTGTTTATCCTTCTGTCTTTTCTCTGTAAAGCCCCACTGTTTATCTTAGCAGTATTGTGTTTTGAGAGAAGAACAACAGCTAGACATTTCAGAGATCGGTATCGTGCTGATAAATTACTACAAACTGAGGAAAAGCTGCTGTAGAGCCATCATTTCTTTTTCACTCTGTGAGAAGTCTGCATAGAAACCACTCTGGCACTAGGACAAAATTCATGGCTAACACTAGGAAAACACAACATTTCCACCTCATTCGAGAGCATTCTCTTGGCCTCTGTTCTGCTGTCATTTGCTCACAGTGTAACACCAATTTCCAAGCACTTTATGTAAGAGCTCAGTGCTACAGCTGCCTGCTTTAAGAGTACCAGTGCTGGTATTCTGCCATCACACTACCTGCGTTCACGTCAGCTTATATTAAACTGGAGTAAGAAGTTGACAGCTAATGCATGTCACTTTGACAAATGTGTAGTAGAAACAGTTAAACTTTTGAAAGGGACGAGTTTTGCTGCTAATAGTCTGGTCCTGCCAAACTGAATATATTTTGGCTGCTTCGTATGCTTCTATTACTGCAAACCAGAGAAAGTGTTCTTGTATGGTAGAGCAAATTGCTTTTTTTCTCATTTGCTTTACCTTACTACATCAATAGGCCATTACTTCACCTTGTATACAGTATTTTTCTAAATTTAAAATGATGTCTGCTCCTTTAGTAGACCATGTGGTTTAATCAGAAACTGAAACTTAAAAATGGTCAGTCTCTTCAGCCAGCTTTTTAGATTACCCATGAAAATACCTTACTGCATCTTTCACTTTTTCAACATTTTTTCTTTCTTGTCTGGTTTGTAAACTTTTCTGAGTTGAACTGTCTCCTAGTATATCAATGCAAAAAATTTAGTATAGAAAGATCCTAAAGATCAGTTATCATTCCATGAATTCCACGAATTTGAAAAAAATAAATACTAATAAGACTCCAACACAGACAATTTGAAGAGCAACTGTTTAATAAAAGTAGCTTTACCTGCAATGAGAGGTTTGTTGCACATTTGAGGATGTACCTATAAAACTTCAAATATAATCACAAAATCTTTTATAAAACCTTATTTATGTGCTTACTGTGTTAATAAATCTTGTAAATTTCTCAGAGTTTTACAAGTTCTTCTCCACAATGTTAAATTCTTTAGTTTATTCACAATAATCTAAATTTTCTTCATCTGCAGAGCCCCCCATAGTCCAGGAAATGTTACAGTGATTAAAAGAAAATGAGGCAATGCCCTGAGAGAAATATCCTTTGGTGATCTTGTAGCAAGTGTGTATATGAAATGGCATCAAAATTATGTGCTTGACATAAATTGTAGAAGCTATATATGCTTTTATCCCAAAAGACACCCATAAGGCTAGGATCCTACATGTGCCAGTGCACATGAAAGACTGGCTTTTGCTGTAATTACTCAGCAATATAAGCATCACAATCTGTCTGGATGGGATTGAGCCAAGTAGGAAGGATGAAGTCCATATAGGAAGGAGTCTGGAAACCCAGTCGTTATTTTCAGTACTGTTTCTACCTGACTGTGACACCTCATATCACCTTTCTGAAGCTCATATTTCGTCATTAGATGCTTACTGCTTTGTCCTCATTGACGGCAAACTCTGTGTGATGATGACAGTCTCTCATTGATTTAAGATCACTAAGGGAATCAAGGAATTTAATGTAAAATAGAAATTTAAAAAAAAAAAAAGCACAAATATCCATGGCAACACCTTAGGCAACAGAAACGCCTTTCCTACAGTTGATTTGCTTCTTATATCCACTGAAGTGAGAAGCCAAAGCTCCAGGGCAGAAGTGTATAAATATTGTGCAGGAAATTGTGTCATCATTCCGTCCTCCACAATAAAAATGTGTTAGTCTGGGGCCAACTCTTTGCCAGGCATTTGTCTGGGGTTTTCCAGTAGCAGAAGCTAGGCCTAAGGCTTTTTCTTTGGCAGGCTGTCCTGATTCTCTTTGGCATTACCCTGTTGCTGGTTTGGTTGGCTTCTGTGCAATAGAAATTAACTTAGAGTTAGGCAACTGCTGAGGATCTGGCTTGTCTTTATTTCTTTCTGACATTTTTTCTGGTTTGAAAGCAAAATGCAACACTAAATTAAGGTTGGATTTGTAACATGGGCCTTGCATTCCAAGAAAAAATTTGTACGGTAAAAAATTACAATTCCACCCTTAGTAAAGCTTTTTTAGTATTACTATTGATTTAAGAAGGTTAGAATCTTTACTTCAAATAAACACACAAAACATTGTTTACCAGTGATTTGGTTTAAACTTGTAGAGTTACAAAATCACAGAATAATTCAGGATGGAAAGGACCTTGTGAGGCTCAGAGCAGGGTCTACTATGAGATCAGACCAGGATGCTCAGAATTTTTTTCGGTTGGTCTTGGAAACCTCCAAGGAAGGAACCTGCACAGCCTCTCCCCTTTAGGAATCAGTAAAGTTGGAAAATACCTCCAAGATCATTAAGTCCAACATTCAATTTTAATTCCAACTTGTGCCTCTTGTCTCTCATCTTCTTGCCAAGCAGACTGCAGAACGAAGTGTAACCCGTGTGACAAGAAGGGATGGGGGAGAGACTGAGCCCTGGGACTGTGGTAGTAAACGGAACTACATGAGGAAACATCCTCATCCTTTGTGGTCCCTGGCTTAGGGATGGCTGGAGTTATGTACATTCACTCCAGTTGACCTGGGTACAGTCTGGGGGCTGGCAGGGGATGGGGTCCATTGTCTGTGGATGGCTTGAAGGCACTACTTTGCTTTGAAGGGTGGGAAGTTGGCGTAGGAGGGATGAGGTCAACATGTGACATTGTCTCAGTTCTAGAGAATGGGATGTGTGTTATTCAAGTTGGTGAAATGATCTGATTTCAGCCCACAGTCAAGCTGAGACTTTCAGTTTTATTAAAGACACATCCTTACACATGGTGATATTTTTCTTTACCCGTCAGGGGCATTTAGTGTTTGCATGTGTGCTGGTTTAAAGGTAAACCATCAGGGGAAACGAACTCAACTCAAAAGAGAGATTATAAGTCAGAATAACAATTTAATAAAATAATACAATAAGTATGATTATACAGACAAACAATGGGTTTTAACCCACAAAACCCCAGTGTATAACCCAGCACCCTGGGGCATGAACAGAGTGGTGTTCCTTGGACCCCCTGAGTCCAAAGTAAAAGGAGAGGGGAAAATCTGTTGGTGAGAGTGCTGTTGCAGTCTGGTCAAGGGTGGTGGTTGCAGTCCGGTCGAGAGTGATGGTTGCAGTCTGGTTGAAAAGTGGTGGTTGCAGTCTGGTTGAGAGTGGTGATCTGCAGTCTTCCTCTGGATCCCACAGGTGGTTAAAAAAGTTCCAAGACTCCAAGATTATATATTCTCCAGTTCAGGCAGGAATGCCCAGCACTTCCCTCAGGGCGGGGAGCTCCACAAAGGGTGTGAGGACAAGAGCATCCTCCTATCTCACAGGCCTCTTAACACCTAGTTTATAGCCTGAGGAGTCAGGGTCTATGTGCAGATGGTGTAAATGGTTCATTGATAACAGTTTCTGGGAAATGGCATGGAAGACTATAGAATACACAGTTTTTGGTTACACCCATTCAGTGATGAACTGGTCCCAGCTGTTCTAACTAGGACAGCATGCATTAATCCTGGTGGTAGAGTTAGGTATCCTGCTATTCTTCTTCCTTTTTCTAATCCTCCTTTATGTGATGAGGCTTTATAAAGCAGATCCAAAGCATCTTGTGGACAAGTGTGAGGCTCAAAATTACTCCTTGGGGTTTACACAGTTCCTTCTCCCACTTAGCCTGCAGCTTGGGATCTTTCAGTATGGAAGGGGAAAAGCTTTAGTTGCTCAGTGCCTTTCTTCAGTCCCTGCCACTCTCAGTTCACTCATGGCATTCCACTAATACTTCTTTCTATTTTATTCCCTCTTCTGATAGAAGAAGAAATTGAGCCGTGGAAGAAGGTCTTTGACCATGGTAATGTGGGAAGAATATAAAGATGTATGGAATTCCCAGCTGAATGCAGTTATGCTGAAGAGAGAGTTATGTTTATCCATAACAACAAGAAAATCTTTTGAAGCATAGTTTAAAGCTGACAGACAAAACCAATATTTGCTGCATAATGGCAGCAAAATTGCATTTGTAAAACACAACTAATAAAACTGAGATCTACTACTGCTTAAAAAGGAGCAGGTCAAAGAAGTTGACCTAACCTTGATGAACTCTTCTGAAAGTGTTTGTTGTTCAAAAGACTTCAAGGTAGACTGTTTAACTATTGGTTTTCTGCATGTGTGGATATCTGTATTTTCCATGCAGAAACAGAATATATGTGTATTGGGCACCTAGAAATAGATATATATATATATACACAAAGCATGATGTAGGCCTTTCTTTTCAGGAAAAAGCTAAAGGCTTTTATAAAAACATTCTCTTTTAATGTAAGGAATTTTATTCATTTGCATATGTGTTGTACGAATGCAAAACAGTAGTTAGTTTGAAAAATTAATTTTTTTTGTGGTTTAGTGTGGAAAATTTACTCAAAGATCTCATTTAAAACCACATAATTCAATCTGCTCATGACTGCAGGAGACTGGTGTCAGGGTAATTTTTTTCATTTGATAACCCTTTCATCTTCAAATTCTTTTTTACTGTCTTTTAGAACTGAATGTATTTAACCTACAAGATCAGTTTTAAACCCCTTGAGAAAAAAAAAAAAAGAAAGAGCCCACACTTTGCTGTACATAATTTTCCAGTTAGAGAGGCGCTTATAGACCACATAACAAAAATTGAAGGTTCCTTAAGAAATTGTAATAATTTATACACATCTTTAAAAGAAGTATGCATTTTTCTTGCTGTTCAAAACTGAATGTCTCTCAAGCTGCTTAACCAACAGTAACAAATCTTATTGGTTGTTGTAAGAGCCAAAGTAACGTCAACACTCCTAATCAAAATCCCCACAGTCCTTTGATATGAATTTATCAACACTACATACCAGGTCCAGTCAAATCAGTTCTCAAACCAGTTCTCTTTGGGTGTCAGTGTTGGATATGGATGTTTCAAAGATTTTACATTTGGGACAATTATTTGAGAGCCAATAGAAAAACTAGGTTTTGCTTTACACCTAAAATATATTCACAAATGTAGTTTGTGGATTATGACTACTGGTGCTGAACTGGTGCATAGAGTGGCGGTCTAGGACCAGACTACTCAGTATTCACTTGCTTTGTGATACTTTCAGCTTTAAGAAGCATGTCTCTGTTGCTTGTAACATACTTATATTGTGTGGAATATGCAAGCCTATACTCTAAATAATGGTTGTGCTCTCCTCTCCTCACTTTTGCCAAAGAAGCTGCACAGTACAGTCAGTGTGAATTCTTGGAACACTGCTTTTGTATGTATGCACCTGTAAGATAAGCCCATCTGGTATTTAATCTTGTTTCACATTATAAATCAGGAAATAATACATATGGGAAAGACATAAAGTCTAATTTTTCAGTTACTGGCCAGTTAGAACCGATCCAGCATCCATCTGGATGGAAGCATCACTGGAATATAGGAGCATCACTTAAATCTCTGACCCTAGGAACACATATAAATGAGTGCAACATATAAACATGCAAAAAATAGCCCTACATATATGTGTGTCCAGTAATAGGAGATGCATCCCCTTGTGCCTTACAGTAGAGGTTCTAAAGCTTAGTATTTTCATTCCAGCAACCACTTCTTGTTTATTAATATAAAAAATCTGAAATATTCTTCCCTTTGGAAGTAAATGCATACCCTTTTCAGATCCAAATGCAGAAATACAGTGAATAGCATTTTCTTTCTTCCAGTAAAGAGGAAAAAAACCCCAACGAAACAGCAAAAAAACTCAGTAGAAGCATTTGGTGAGTGTGAAGCTCCTGTAATTAACAGACAAATCCTATCTGATTTTATCTGAAAGATCAACATCAGATGCACACCCTTCTTTTGAAGAAACTAAATGCTTCCAAAATTCATCAAGCGATGATAAAGAAAAATGGTCTTTGGAAAGTAATAAACTCTTTTCAGAAAAGCCTGAATTGGAAAAAGGAAAAGAGTTACAGTACAGTGCCAGCAATGCCAATCCCATTCAATAGAAAAATCAAGTTATTAAATTAAATTTTACATTGGTTTGTAATTTAATAAAAAATTTGGTATTAGATACCACTTTGCAGCAGTGTGGATTTGTCTTTTAAGGTCTCTGCTGAACCCAATTTCTCCCAGGAAACCGTGACCAGGCTAAATCAAGTCTTAAGAAGCCTTCTCACCCTCAGTCAACAGAGACCAGTGCATCAGCAGCTTTAATATACTGATCTACTCCTATTACACTGAAGTAGTTACTGATACTAATACATACAGATAGATTCACACAAAATTAATATTTTTTCTCCCAGTGTTTGAATAATGTCTATCCAAACTGAAACTCTCTTTAAATTCAGGACAATTTTGGTAAATAATTTGACTGGTGAAACCCATGCTGTAGTTTGTGGCCCCTTGGTAATCCATGGAGAATTGCTAGTGATTCACACAGAGCTCACGTAGCTCTTCTTCCCTGTATACAGGTGTGTCTGCAAGTGTCAATAGCACATTTGGGCTTCTCCTATGTAATTTTTTTTCATGTAGAAGTTAGAAATAAGGCTGCTACAGTGTGTGAATTTTCTTCTAAGCAGTTGTTAGAAAAAATGTACTGTTGAAAGGGAAGTAAAGGAAGAAACGGTGTCAGATGAAGAACAGTGCTAGGAAAAAAGTCCTAATTAGAAGTGGCAGTGCAGACAACCCAGTTGGAAATGAAAGTGGAAGCAGTGCAGACTGGTACTGTAGAGTGAGAATACAAGCAAATGAAGTGATGTGAGATTTTTGGCAGGGACAAAGTTGTCTAAGATTGGGAAGCTGAGTTCCTAGAGCCAACTTTTTCATGAATGGATTTTAATTTCAGGTATCTGAGCTGAAAAAAAAAAGAACAGAAAAAAATCAGAAGCCCAGTTTGGAAGGAGGCCCAGTTATTCAGAAAACATTGAGAATCAAGCCCTCTTTAAGTTTGGAGATGGGTGTCTAATAACTGAGAAACCTCAAATTATCTTGTGCTCTAAGTATAACTAGATGAATAATACCTCTTGAAGCAATTTCACTGTTTCTGAAATGACATTGAAAGATCAGGAAATTTCAGATTACTGAAAAATATTATCACTTAGGCCCTGGAATTTATTGTCTTCAAAACATACTCTTCCACTAGAGAAATAAGAAGACTTTATAAGCCTAAGAGTGTAATATTTGCTTTCTGGTGCACCTTTGACAGTGAGAGTCTTATAATTAGATAATACTTAGAGTAGCTACCATCTCACATTCTCCAAACACAGACAGATGGTTTGAGGACTAAGTAGTGAAAAAGCTCAGTCTTCAATCAAACAAAGCAGTTTGCATCTTTATTGTACCATTTGTTTAATAGGCTGACATGAGATGCCTAACATCCTTAAATATCAGTATTTAGGCAGCTGCTTAATTAAATTCTCAAGGTTGCATTTTGATGGGGGTAATTCATTTTAAATGAACAACAAAACATAAGCCCTTTCTTGCCCTCCTTTCCTCTTAGCAGATAATACTCTGTTATCAGTTGCTTCTGGCTCACCACAAATAACAGTGACAGCTTGAAATGAGTCACTGCTCCCCACAACCCCTCTGTCCTCTGCAAACTGGTCTTAAAATCTGATGGAAATTAATGTAGGTGTTTTACAATAGCTTCCAAAGAAAAAAAAGTAAATTTCTGGGCCCTTTGTATGACAGTTAAATGTCAGAATCTGTTCATGGGAATACCCTTGTTTAGCAATGGGAAGAGTTTTCAATGGATTTTATCCATTTATTTTTTGTGGTTCATTTTGTTTGTTTGTTTGGGGTTTTTTGTTGTTTGTGTTTTTTTTTGGGGGGGGTGGTGTTTTTTTACATGATAGAACAATTATTATTACTTTACAAAAAACTATATCCTAAAAAAACCCTAGAATAATCTAAACCAGTTTGGGTTTCTTTTACCTTATTTAAATCCATCTTGCTTCCTTTAAATATCTAAATGGCTACTCTTGTTTTTCAAGGATGTCAAAATTAAAATTGTCAATCAGAAAAAAAGTCGTACTGTTGAGTATTGTTTACTGGACACAGGTAATGCAGCAGCAAAAAGGTGCTCCGGACCAAACCTGAACTCTGATTCAGTTCAGAAAAGGCTTTTTCTCAGACAGAGATGTTCTTGTGCTCCTCATTGAGATATCCCTTATTTCTCTAGCTGCTCATGTTTATATGTAATTTAAAATAAGTACCAATATGTCTATTTTTGCTTCCCAGCCTGACAGTTCTGGAGATGCCATTCTATCCCATTTCCAGTGAACAAAGAAATGATAAGAGAGAGGAAATTGATATAACTTATCAGAGTATTTGCTATTCATTATATACATATGTACATCAGTTTAATATCCATATTTAGCAAATGTAAGAGGCAGTCTCAAGTCAAACATGGCTCTAGCATTAATAAGGCTATTTAAAAAAGTTCAGGGGTGTTGTCACATGAAATAAGTATGTTCTCTTTTTTATTACTTGAACTACTTAGAGACAGGACTCATCATACAGCTTAAAACACATTGTCAAATAATTGTAGTAACTATGTTGAGATAGAATTATTAATTGTGATAGTGATTGCAAACATTTAAAGCTGCTTTCATTTTCTAATAGAATGTGTTCTACCCTGTAAACTATTTAGCAAGATTATTCTTCATTTCCCATTGTGCTCCTTCCTGCAGTCATATCCCAGACAAAATTAGCTCCTACTGACTTCAGTGGCTTATCCAAGGAGCAACTAATCTTATCTAAATTTCACAAATACCTCAAATGGTAGCTTGTGACTTTGATTGCTAAGAGAGTAGGCCTAATCAGATTCCTTTTCTTAAAACAGTGGTTCATTCAGATCCTTCACTCTGAGAGATCAAAGCTGTTTCTTCTCTCTATCTGCAGGGAAGCTCATTAGGAGGAGGTTGTCAGGGTTATAATCATGCAACAGTTTTACTTCTGGGTTATAACGCTTTTCCTTTCTTATCAGTCTGTGAGGTCCAAAGTGAGAGTAACAAAGTAGGTATTAGTGACATACAATACTTTTAATACTTTCAGAAATCACTACATTTTACTAACTATTTTATTAA